GGGGCTGTGCGTGTTTTCCATGTGCTCCCCCATTTTTGCGCAGTGAACGGTCTCCAGGCTCGGACCTTCGGCGTCTGGACCCTGCTGTCATCGGTGATTCGCTGTCTCTGCGCTATCGACATCCGCAATAGGACGTACGTAACGGAGTAAAAGGAGCAGCAGAGAAATCACTGGGTTTGTTTGCTAGTCACAGTGTGAGCAGTTGCTCAGAAGGCAGTGCAGAGGCGATGGGGAATCAGAAGCTGTGCCTTATCTTTCTGTAGGGTTGAAAGTGTTCCCCCCAAAAAGCCTAACTAGCAGTGTGGGATTTGTATGTTAACTGGTGCTCCCTCCTGCCTCTGAGGGGAGAGCCTGCCCATTTGAGTTATGTTTCTTAGCTCAGGCAGAAACTGGTAGATCTGAGAACTTCTTAGGTCAAAAAATTCTGAGCTCGAGCTTGGAAAGCATCTTCTGATGGTGTTGCTACCATGCTGACATTAAGCAACTGCTAATGCTGTGGTCTGACTGATAGTCGATGCTGCTTCTCCTGTGACAGCCCAGCTAAAGACTGTGGCAGGTTGAGATGCCCCTTGCAGAGGTCTTAACCCCTGACTTCTTTCACATGCTCTTATCGGGGACTAAGGACAAAGCCTGAAGCACAACCTGATGCTGTGGTGGGAGGAAGGCCATTTCTCCCTGCGGTAACAGAGGTATTCATGAGAGGGGCTTCTGAGCAGGCTGACTCTGAATCTGTGCTAGACAAAGCCTGAGCTGGAGGTTGCTTAGACTCGCTCTTCTGTCACTGCCTCCCCCAGCCCCATAGCAGAAGTAACTGTTCACCTGGCAGCATGTCCTTCGGTTGCCTAGGCTTGTCTGTGGTAGGGAGGTGGAGGGACTCAATTATCTGTTTTTAGGGGTGGTGACAATGCCAATTCCCAGTGAGCCAGTTGTTTCTTAGAAGGATTTTTTACCTTGCCTCTTTTGGACCTGCTCCCTTTAACAGCTGTGGCCCCTAGAGGGTAGCAGAGCACAGGTGGGAAGGTGTGTTGGGCGATACAGCCTGGAGTCAGACCATCCTGTCACTAGTTCTTGTCTCATCCAGTTCTCGCCTTCTTTTTGTGTGCACACATGCTTCTCACTTCACCGGAACCCTGTCCTTGCCCTCCCCTCTTCACCTGCCTTCAAGCCAGATAACACCTGTGATTTTCAATGCACCACACTGATTTCAATGAACATGCTGCCCTGTTCTCCCAGCTGTTGCCCAGGCAGCTTTTGCACCTCACTAGGCAAGGGACTAAGTGCCCTCTGTGCTGCCACACTGAGGACAGATGGGGAAGCATGCAGGTATGCCTCTTTTCCACTCAGCCATGCTCATGTCCACACTATGGGATACATAATAACTTACTTCTTTCTGCTCTCCAACAGCCTCTATTACATCACACTCTTCACCTTCTTTTTGGCCCTTGTTCACTTCCTCTCCGAGGTCTTCGTTTACCACACTGCAGCCTTGACAATTGGAATTATGGCACCCCTTATGGTAGCAAGTAAGTAGAGCTCTGCATCCTCCCCCCACAAACTCTCCTTGACGCCTCTCCACACCCCAGAAAAAAGTCTCCATGGGGCTATGACATAAGATCAGGGAGGCAGTGGTGGCAGGAAATACCTCATCCCCTGGACAAACTCATACAAACTCATTCTGTGTCTCTGTCACAGGTTTCTCTATTATGGGGATGTTAATTGGGCTGCAGTACCTGGAGGTAGAAGCACTTTCACAGAACAAGAAGAAAAACTGAAGCTGAGGGCCCTGTGTAGGCCAGCGTTGTCTCCTATCTTCACTGCCAAACTTCCACTAAAACTCATCTGAACTTCTTCAGGACACCAGTCCCACTAGTGGATCAATATTGGACTGTCAATGTTTCATCATTACTAAGTGTTTTTTCTTGTCCAGGCAACATTTCAACTGACTGATGTCAAAGACCAAGTCCCAGAGGAGTTTGTGTCAAAGCTTGCAGGGGCCAGTTGGTGACTGCCTCCCCAGAGAGCAGGCAAGATCTCAGGCATGCCCAGTGCATTAAGAACTTCTCTCCCAGTGTGGGGAGGAGGTGTGCACCTACCCAGGATTGACTGAACTCTTCAGACCAGAGAGAGAACATGTACTGCCCGTGGCACTGCTATGTAACTTGCATGTGTGTGTTCTTCAGGGGCCATTTCTAATAAATGGCGGAAAACTACAGAGTGCTACGTCTGTCTTTCTGCTACACAGCAGCAGGTAGAGGATGGACAGCTCAGAGCAAACAGCAGTTTCTGCTGTATGATCTCTCTTTGCAGCAAACCCAACTTTCCCTGACTGCTTCCCATAAAGTTTCAGGTCTGACTGCTCACATCACAATCATACATGCATGCAAAGAGTGTTGTTGCAGCTCTTGCTTCCACAGCATACTGGTGACAGCAAACTGTCATCAGAGCTACCTCTGCTGTGAGCTAGAACTACATAAGACAGAGAAAACAGCATCAGGTTGCTTAGACGTGGGTGAAATAATGCCCAAAGCAGATGGGCAGAGCACAGAAGGTAGGAAGGAAGCAGCAGGATCTTCTAGCTGGGAGGGCAGTGCATGTAAAGAAGAAAAAGAATGAGAAGGGAGGAAAAGAGCACAACAGTAGCACTGAGCAAAAAAATTACTCTTCCATTTTGCTAAACATTTCAGGCTATTAAAGAGCCAGATGTAGACTGCTTCATAGAATCATACCATTTAATATGAATGTCTCAGATTTCATTGTACATTTCAAATGTTTTTATTTTATATAAACACTTCTATTGACAAGCCATTTTAGACCCCCACCCTCAATCCCAAACTAAGAGACAGGAACTGAATCTTTTAATGCACCAAAGATTCTGCAGTTTCACACACCAAAAAAAAAAAAAAAAGTTTTCTCAAAATGGTATGCCAGAGAGGACTATTTTTATCCATTCCACTTGGTTGTGGTTTTCGGTTTAAGGAGTATAAGGACACTTGATGTCTCCACCAGTGGAGGGATGCTGGAAAGGTAGGAGAAGGATCTATATTTGTATTTAGAAGAGAAACAGCAGCATACAAAGAGGCAGTGTCTGTGAGACACAAATGCTGGTAAAAGGGCTTCTTCTCCTGTTCTCTATTATAAAGTGGGAAACTCTCACACTGGAGCAGATCATACTCGAACCTCTGCATCTGTGAAGAGCAACACAGCCTTGGCTGGTTATCTCCATATAACACTTCACAGAAGTTTCTATGTAGCACTGAAACATGCAAAAGGCACTTTATCATTTAGGAGGAAGACACAGTCCTGAGCCCAGGGAGCTTGTGGTTTGACTCATTCCTGTGACTAGTGTAGTGATGAACTAGGCTTAGGCTCTGGCTTCAACAAAAGCTGCAGAACTAGTCCTTGCCTCGAGGTAGGAGGATTGGTGTCTCTCAATTATTCCTAATATACAGGAACATCAGGGCAACCTCAGTGAATTCTGAGCAGAGGTTTATCCACAAGAGTATTTCATCTGGGACAGCCACACAACAAAACCAGAGCCAGAACTTGCTGGTGATGTGCTGAGGCCTCTACCATCACCTGTGCAACACAGAGCACCACAGGTACCAAAGCAGAGCAATCCCTCTTCCTGAGAGACAGCTGAAAGCTCTTCTAGGGCTGCTCACAGAGCAAGCATGGTCCAGCTTCTGCATTTCATGTCACAGCTTGCCTGTGAGAGGAGAGACAGACACATCCAGGCTGCCACCCTCATGTTCTCAGGGATAGCCTGGACCTATTCTCAGCTGTATGCTTTTTCTTTTCCAAGCCTACATGTTGGGGTAGGGGGGAAACAGTTTTTCCAACTTTTCCTCCCAAGCAGGAAAGCTTCCAGAAGAGCAGCATGCAGACATAACAACTGAAGAGAGCAACTCCCTTCTTGTTTTGCTCTTTCACACTCTTCACTGGGCTCCTATCCTGAGGCTTCACACACACACCACCCCTGCCATGGTGTGCATGTAACAGGCAGATAGGGTAGGTAGCAAAGATGGGAATGAGGGGGACTGCATCTCCCAGCTCTGCCACCCCTCCATTCACAGCTTTGATTCCTCAAGGACTATGGGATCAGTGCAGGCTTCTGGCACCACTTTCTGCAAGTCAAACAAAGAAACAATATGGTTAGGATCTTGGCTGGCCAGACCCAGGCTTCAGAGAGACCAGTTGGCCAGAAGCTGGCTAATTTGCAACTCCCTGCTCGTGTGCACAAATCCCCACAGAAAAATCACCATCCTGAGAGTTCATCTGGTTCCCTTCTCCACATCCTTCTACTGCCTGGATATGGGGCACTGGAGCACCAGGGCAGAGCAAGGGTCCACTTCCCTTAAGCTACTTGCTGTAGTCCCAGTTAACTGACAGAAGTTGTACAGGCCCAGGTGTCAGCCCCACAGCCAGCTCACTGAAGATACTTCACAGTGACACAAGATCAGCCTCAAAGCGGTAAAGCTGCAGGGCCAGCTCCTGGGCAGGGAATGCAACTGGGAACTCCTTCATGCCATGGGCAACACAGCGTCCGTGCAAGCACCATAGAGAATCTGCATCCCATGCACCCTCAGAAAGCTCAGCACAGCAACTAGCTCCACTCTGTCCTTACTCATGCGTGCCTGAAGGTCTCTAACTCCCAGGCAGATTGCTGATTCTGCTCATTTTCAGTCTTTTTGTCCCTGCCCCCCATTCAGGGCTGCCACCCTCTGCCACACTTCTTCCCTGTCCCTAGCCTTGGACTTAGGCTGGAATATTTCCAGAGTGGTGCAGATAAGGCCTTCAAAGTTCATTACTTGTATCTTGAAGAGCCATAAGAAGTAAGAGCCAAATATACACAAGTTTGGGGGTTTTTCCTGCATAAATACTATAGAAGAATTAGCCTAATTACTTGAACCCTCCTAAAATTTCTTCCCTTAAGATGGAGTAGTAATTTCCCAGACAAGGAGCAAGAACAATCAAAACTGCTGCCCAACTACCACTCTATCCTGGGCTCTATGAAACAGCCAAACTTCCACAACTCCAGTTCAGCCTTCCTGGGTGGAGCTTGATGAGCTATTCTACTGAGCCATTCTAGGGTGTGTTAGGACTGAACCTAAGACTTAGTCCTCCAGAGGATTTCGGGTACCTCTTCAAGGTCTAACTCTGCTTACAGTGAGACACCCCACTTGTCACTGGTTCAGAAAACAGTATGCAGACTTGCAAAGGTAAATGTGGAGTATCCCATGACCTGGGCTCTAAGTTAACTCACTTTGGGGCAAGACTGACATCTGAGGCAGGAGTCAGGGGTGCAGAGGAAAGAGGTTCACATCCCCAGTGTAGTTCAAGAGAAGTCCAGGCAGCATGGAAGCAAGAGATATGAAACAGTTTAATTTTGAGTACCCTCTTACACAAACTGCAGGTGAAAAGGTTTTATAGAGGTCATCAGCAATATCTCAAAGCAGAGAAGTGAGATCAGGAAAGCTTCAAAGAAGTACCTGGAAGCAAAAGCCAGGAAGCGCATAGAGGGAACTCCTACCAGCAGGAGGGGTAAGAGGGGTGCATGAAGTAGTGCCAGAGGTAGGAGTAAGGGGAAAGTTGCATTTAGGCTTGGGAACCCCCACCAGAATGCATCATGGAAGCACTCTGGTAACTCTGAACAGGCTCCCCAAACACCTCTGGGGTCTGTACCCCACTCACCTGCTGAGGAGCTACAGGAACAGAGGTTTTAGGAGAACAGCCTGCCTCAGGGCTTCACCACCTTGTGAAAGGAAGGCTGCTCTCACCGCTGGGAGTCACAGCACTGGAAAAAGGCATGCCAACAGCCTGACCATGGCTTTGTGACGGAAGGAGAGGGCTGCTTGCCACACAGTAAGCACAGAAAGGGAGTAGGCAAGTTTGGGAAGCAGGGGATGTGGCACACATTGTGCCTATTACGCAAAATTCCAGCAAAATTTTTTTCTTGGCAGTATTTCACTAGAGAGTAAGCGTGCTGCAACTTGCAAAGAACTCCAGTAAGCTACTGAGGGTGGTTGCTTGACCTAAAGCCTTTAGCCAGTCTCTAAATCACACTGGCCTTGGGAGAAAAAAGCAGTGGTTTTGGGCATTCCGCTGAGATCCTTCAGATGCATTTTTGCATCCAGGCAAACATATAACCGGCAAAAAAGGTACTTGGCCCTAATTGAGTCCTGACTTACCCAGAACATGGTTTGAGGACACAGCAGAAATTCAGTCCTGTTTTAAACAAATCCCTTGCTGTGGCTGTACACCTAGAGCAGGTCACTAGTCATCCAAAATCATCCACTCCTCATCAGTGCTCAGCCCTGCTGGTATCATTAACACTCCAAACAAAAGTTTTTGATTTCATTACAATTAAGAAACCAGGACAAAGCCTGAAACCACTTTACGCCCTACTCCCCGCTGTCAAGAATAGGTTCTTCACAAACACATACACACACGTGCACACACCAACACCTCCATTTATCTACCACTAATATAAACAGTGTAAGACCAGCACAAAGTAGTCTCAAGTGCTCTGAACACACACAAATCAAATTTGCAGGTTTCAAAGAGGCCTAGCAAAGTGCAGTTTGAACTAAAAGATAGTCCTGCCATTTTGGAATCCTGCACTCTATGGGATAGCTGCTTTCTTAAAAACCCACACAAGCTTAAAAGTATTTTCAAACAGATGTTGCCTAAGGCTTCTCTTGAACAGTTCACTCCCGAGTCAAAACAATCCATGGAAACTCAGCAAAGATACTTACTTCATAATGCAAAGAAC